AGACAAGATGAGAAGGCAAACACCAACTACATCTCTATACAGTAAAAAGGAACACAAGAGGGCCGGGGAGATGGCTCAGTGGAATAAGCGCTTCCCTGGCAAGCACAAGGACCTGAGTTCGATCCCCAGTTCCACCAAAAAAAAAAAGAAAGAAAGAAAGAAAAAGGAACACAAGAAACTGAAGTGAAAAGTACATTACTATTAAATGCTCCTATATTTTATTTAAGTATAATCTAAAATAAACAAACCATAAACAAGCTCTATGTACTGAAAAACGTGCCGCTGAATCTTAGAGGAGCCAAACGCGTTCACGGGCTCCAAGACTGCATGGAGTTATGAACGTACAGCGGCAAGTCCCCACACTGCCGCAGGAGGCAGCAGCCTCGCTTCCGGGCACGCATCCAGAGGAGCTCCCGGCAGTGCGCCCCCGGCAGTGCGCCGGCTCGTGTCCGGGTGCACACCAAGGCCCTTGATCAGAGGAGGCTGGATCCAGGGCAGGTGTTGCGGGGATGGAGCACGCCCTGCCCTGGGTGTGAGTGCTGCCGCTGGGCAGGAGGCCCAGACAGCAGAGACACCAGGAGGCTGCTGCTGTCACGTGCTACTGTTTCTGGTGCTGCAGTCTGTGTTCCACCACCTCCTACCGGCTCTGCGATGTCCCTCTGCCACCCCACTGTGTCTTAGAGCCAGCCAATTATGGCCTGACATCTCTACAAACTGTGAGCCAAAATAAAATTTTTATTTAACTTTGAGCATCAAGTATTTTATCTCAACAATGAGAAAAAGTAACAAGACAAGCAGAATCTTGAAAGGCTATTTGCAACAGCACACTTCAGAAGCACCAAAACACAGAAGCAAACTAAGCGTCCATTAAGGGATGAGAGGATAAACAAACTATGGTACCCACTTATACTGGAATAGTATGCAGCCCTAAAAAGTAGAGTACATATTACAACATAAGGGAATCTTGAAGAAACTACACTACATAAAATAAGCCCATCAAAGAGGGACAAATATTGTGATTCCACTTGGTCAAGATTATAGGGACACAATGCGGTGGTCTTCAGACTGGTGATCAGAATCAGGGGAAGGTAGGAATTAGTGTGGAACAGGAAGGCCCCATGGAAAATTACAAGTGTTTGGTGTGACCTCAGTCAGAGGCAAATAGCCAGTTGACCGGAGAGCTCAATTTGATAAATCATCGAGAAAGATTTTCATCCCAGGGAGTCTTCCTCATCTCTGCAGTCACACTGTTTTCTTTATAAATGCAATTTATTTTCAGCCCCAAACTAATTCATATCATTTGCAGGCCCTTTATAATTTCTAAAGAAATTTTGTGCTTTTGTTTAATAGGTAATAAATCCTTTTATAGTTTGTATTGGCAAAAAAAAAAAAAAAAAAAAAGATTATAGGGATAGAAAGTAGAATGGTGGTTGCCAGGGGTTGGGGAGGAGGAAGAGGAAGAGTTATGAATGGGCATAAAATCTCAATTCTGCAAGATGAAGAAGTTCTAGGGACCGGATGCACAATGATGTGAAGGTGCAGAGCACTACAGAACTGTGAACTCGAAACTGGTAAGATGGTAAGTTTTACGCCGTTGTTTTACGGCCAAGAAAGTATTTAAAATGTGTATCGCAGGTGCTATTGCCACATGTCACCCAGAAGAAAATGCTGGAGCGAGCGCTCCATTCTGGGCTTCTGTCCTCTCAGGCACTCCCTAGAACTGCAGGAACCAAGGGAGCTCCAATCTCAGAGGAGGGGCACCCATGCGACGAGGCTGAGGGGCGCACAGAGGAATGCGATTAGATTAGCCGCCAGGCGGGAGGCAGGCGCGCCAGCGAGCAGCTGTGACGCTGCCGCTTTCCACTCCCGCGACAGGGGCTTCATATCCTCCCCGAGCTGCCTCTTCTCAACTCCTACTTTCAAATGTGTTGGGCTCACGTACTTCAGAGAATAAGCGTGTGCAGGGTTTAATATATAATTTGCATTCAAAAACATACAACATAAAATATTCACCCAAAAAAGACACTCAGTGAACCGGCACTCAGGGCTGGCACTTGGTAAAATCACAAGAGAGCATTTGTTAATGAGTTAATCCTCCCAGTGTATGGAGGCCAAACAGAGTCAAAGTACAAAGCTGCACTCCTCCACGATAACGTAGTACTCTATCCACATCGTCACAAAAAGCAGAGACCCGGGGGAAACCCGAAGATTTTCTGGCGCAAACGTCCGATTACTACGCACCCCTGGTAAAACTTTACTTTGTTATCAGAACAAAGATGCAAAGATCAATAAAACCCCAGGACTGAGCTGTTTTCTCTCTACCCCAAGTCACTGAACAGAAAACTATTCTATGGCCAAAGGAGCCCCTGGCTAAGTAGAACCTCTTTTAACCTCATGTTCAAGTGGTTCAAAGTAATTATAAAGATGTCTTTGTGAGAAATGAATTTTGCAGTACATTCTCAAAAGGATCATTGGAGATCCTAAAGGAAACAGCTGAGCAAGGAGTACTAAACAAGGCCAAGAGATGAGAGAACCCTTTATCAGCGCAGTGCTAAGCGGTCTTCAGAGAAAGAGACTGTGAGGACGACCAGGGAAAGGAACTATGACAGCAATGATCACCTCAAGCTGGGCTTCATGATACACACCCATAATGCCAGCTACTCAGGCGGCTGAGGCAGGAGGATTAAGGGTTCAAATCCAGCCTGAGCAAATTAGCAAGACCTTGTCTTTAATGAACTCATATCGCCAAAATCCTCCCCTCTGACTAACACTTCGTTTCCTACCTTCCTTTCTACCCTAACTCATCCTCCTCCCCTCAGACAAATCTTCCAAGAACTTAAATGCTAAAAACTTTACCTTGGTCGATTAATTCCAACAAACTCCTTGCAATTTATCGTTTGTTCCTATGCATTCGACCCTCAGCTACCCGGCCACCCTAAGGGCACGCAGCACATTGAGGATCCATTCCGGGGCAGGTATAACCAGTCACTGAGGCTCACAATTTAGATTGTAATCTTTAAAGCTCTGTATCTGTCATCTCAAGTAACGGTGCTCACATTTTAATTAGCTTGTTAAGCCATGTTTGTCACCACAAAAAACATGCATGCTTGTCTTTACAGTAAAAGATACACTAACACATCCACCACTCCGGTGAACCAGGGAAGGGGAAACTATTTTCCTGCATTAAGCCACCACCTGCAGTGATTGCCACACAAGCCTGCAGTGTAAAAGTGTAACAGCTTCCACCGGGTCCTTAGAATAACAGGTTTTTAAATATACATTCCATAAAGACCCGTTCCCTCTGTAAGAACGCTCGCTGCAGCCCTGCATATACCCTAGACTGTATCATGGGCAGCAACTCCAAGAACTTCTACCTACGGCTGCTGTCGGCTCGGGAGTGGTTGCTCCAGCAGGAACTAAAGTAGTAGCACCAGCACAACTTCTAGGTGCTTTCCCCAGGGAGGGCTCTAATGCAATCTTCCCCAGCAGTCAGCAGGAGCCGCACAGCCCAACACATGGCCCTTGGCAGTTTTATCATTTTGCCTGATACTGCCCAGCCGTGTCCTGCCCAGCCACCACCCCGCTGAGGCTCCCAGCTCTTCCACACCAGTGCACACCCGCCCAACTGATCGCACTGAAAGGGATGAAGACCTCACTGTACCACATTGACAAATACAGAATTTCTCAGGCTGCTCCAGAATTCCTGGGCCTCATGGCTTTCAGTCAGCCTTTAGCATGGTATGACCTAAAAGCTAACTACAAGCCTAACTGGCCTTCCCAATAGTAACACTACCAATTCACGTGCATCTTATTGATGAGGAAGGGCTGATCTGGACAAATGCCAAAAGTAGGTCTGGTGCACAGCAATCAAGGCATCAATCTTTTCCACTAGTGGAGTTAAAGGACCAGGATTCTACAACTCAAAGTCACAAGCTAGAATGTCAAGAGTCTGGCTAAGAGCTGGGGAGATAGCTCAGCAGTCTAAGCATCTGCCTGGCAGGTGCAAGGACCTGGGTTCAATCCCCAGCACCACATGCTGCTGGCCTCAGGACCCTGGGCGCGCCATGCTGGCCACTGAAACTGGGTATGGTGGCTCATGCCTGTAATCCTAGCACTGGGGAGGCTGAGACAGGAGGATCACTATGGGTCCAAGCCGTGTAGTGAGATGCTGTACCAAATAAATAAATAATTTTTTTTTTTTTAAAAAAAGTCCAGCTAAGCTTGCAGATATTTCAATGTAGTTTATACAATGTCTTCAAGGATCTACATTAGTTGTCAGTGTTTAAATATTGGTGTATTGGGACTCAAAATCTCCATTCCTGGATCTTGTGCTAGAGGAATACCTGCCACTCTGAGACTGCATGTCCTGGTACGATCAGGTGACTCCAATGTAGAGAAGCAAACGCTTTCCAGTATGTCACCGTCCTCCCAGGTCATCCTTCCCTGCTTTAACTTCAGGCCTCTTGGGTATTCTACTTCAGGTCCTAACCCTGCCTTCTTGAAATAAAAACCTACAGCCTACCCTCATTAGCCCTATGTCCAAATACTGTGGAGAAACCCGAGTATGACATACCACCTTCACAGTTCTGCGTCGGCAATGCTTATGTGGATGAGTTCATTTTGTACAAACATCATTTTGAAACTAATGAACCTGCTACACCTTTAGTTACAGTTAGCTGTTTTCTGTAACTGTGCTGGTCCTTTTCAAGTAGAATGTCCTGAACACATAGACGGTTATAGTTCAACCACACCATGGTTAAATGATTTAGCTTAATGAAGCTAACAGATTCAAGCTTAGGGCCCCAAAGGCCGAAGAGCTATGCACATTGTAACAGTTTACAAAAATGTCATCTTGATATTTTAACACATCCTCCACTCCCATCAACTTACAGCGTACAACAGTTGAAGGGTTATATAAAAGGTCTTTAATGCGACACACAGCCTTGAACAGATATTCACACAACCACATGCCAACTGCCTCTTACCCGGGTATTGCTTACCCATTGCACTGAGATAATGGTTGAAGGCCTGGCAAGGAGGACTTGGGGTTTGTGTTGATTTGTCACAACTCATGGGTGCCGGGCTCCTGTCTGTGTCAAAAGAGAAATACCCACTGGAGGATCGAGACAGCAGGGAAGATCTTCTCACAAAGATGAAAAGCGGGGATCTGGTAGCAAAAGGGCCAGGGCTGGCCGGTGGGGCCAGCGGGCCCTGAGGGCTGCCGTGGGGGCAGCGGTCCCCTTCGCCTTCGGGATTACCTTGGGGCTCCGTCTGTAGGGAGGTAGGGGCCCCAGCCCTGAGCTGGGGCGGCCTCTCAGCAGGCTGCAATTGTCCACCTTCTCTGTCACACTCACAACTTACATCGGAAGGTTGCTTGGCCATTTGGTCTTTTTTTCTGCAAGGAAAGAAACAAACCTAAGATTACCCAGGAAAACAATAATTACAGCGAGATAAATCAGCAAACCATCACCTATTAGGGACCCTCAACAGTTCATCTCAAATACAGTACTGTAAAATCAAGTTGCGATGTTTACTTCTCCGACGATCTCCGAAATAAAAATGCACTTAAAATAACAAACGTATGATTATCCTTTTTGGCCACGGTGGGGAGGTGGAACCAAACCGCCAAACAAAACAGTAACAATGTCAATTACTCGTGAAACTGGTGCTTCTACATAAACAAATACACAAGTTGCAAGAGCAGCAGTCTGTCTGAAGTCTATTCACATGTGCTTTTTGCTCGGGACAGACTTGAATCAAGTCGGAAACTCCCAGCGGGCTCTGATTTCCCGGGATCAGATACCGCGCTGGAGCACAGCGGCAGGCGCAGATGCAGCGATTGCAGGCTGCCGCTGGCCGAGTTCCCAGCTCCGGCCCCATTGTTTGCCGAAACTGCTGAGGGCAGCAAGTCTGGGGAAGGTTTGGCAGCGGCCGTCAGCCGTAGTAAGTGCGTCACAATAGAGTTTGTAACTCTGAGCGCTGCTGGCCCGGCCCCGGAGCTCTCCGCCCCCGGTCCCTCCGGGTCCAGCCAGCGTGCCACACCGAACCGGGCAGAACTTCTCCGACCTGCAGTCACAATGCTAGGTGCACTGCTCGAAATGCGGGACCCCCTGCCCCGAGCCTCCCCCTGGCACCCCGTGCAAAGTCCACAACTAGCTCCGCGCGCTCGTCAACACCGGGCGCGGCGCCCCTCCATCCCAGACCTTCCCCTTCCCAGGCGGCCGCACCACCACTCACGTCCGCCCCTTCCCTTCCGAGCGTAGCGTCCGCGCCCCGGCGCGGGCCCCGCGGCGTCCAACCCGTGCCCTGCGCCGACTAGGCGCCCCTTGATTGTCACCGTGGAGGCGGCGCAGGAGACTAAGCCCGGCGCTAGGGTTCAAAACAACCCGGGCAGCGCAGAGCCCACGCCTGCCCGTCCGCCC